AGGGGAGAACTGCTTCATAAAATGACAGTTCCTGTAAATCATCCTTTTCTGAAAGCTTAAGCTTGCACTACTGTTTTGTGTGTTGCTAAACTTGGTCTATAAGGATGTGTTTTTCCCCTGCTCCATCTTGTTACTTTAATTGTATTCACAGTTTGCACTTTTTAAGTGCACAAAAGGAAAACTATGACTATTGGGTATTCTGGGTTCCTTGTGAAGATTTGGACTCCTCTTTTATCCCAAGAAATATATGGACTGCTGCAGATCAGTGGGATAATGACATTAACAAATAGAGATGCGTATGCTTTTTGTTCTTATTTACAGATCTTTCTGTGGCATTCTTGATTCGTGTTCAGAAGGGGGAATGGTAACTGTCATGACAGAACTGAAAACCAGAAGAGGTTGTCGTTCTTTTTAAAGTTTGGGAGTGAAGACAGATTATATGACTGGCCTGAGAACACACATGATGTCTGTGGCAATGCTCAAGTCTTTTCTCATGCTATTTAAAGGACTTGATTACTGATCCTGTTTTCGCAGTATTTTTATAAGACCTAGGTTGTGTTGCACTTCCTTAGTACTTATAACGACTCCTATTGTCTGAACCTGTTTGTTTATGGACTTACAAACCTAGAAGAATAAAGTGGTTTGGATAATTTTGGCACAGGGCTTGTGTTCAGACATTTGATAGTAATCGACCTTCTTTCTGTAGAGAAATCTGGCTCGCTGCACAGCTGCACATATGCATGTGCCAGTACATCGTTGAGGAGTGAACAACTGGTGGGCAAGCGTTGCTAGTCCTGAATGTGCAGTCTGATAGAGTAAATAGCAAGCAAAGTGTACGTTAGGAGCAGTTGTTCTGGATAGTATTTAATCATATTCTCCAGTTAGACAGCTTATGTTGAAGTGTAGTTAGCAGTTTAGTAAGGGATGAGCCAGCGTTGTTTTAATACTGAACAGGAGCTTCTGTAGACTAGTCAGTATCTAGACAGTCACGAATGTACATTCAAAATGACAGACCTTCTTGTCCTCATTGAGAAAGGATGACACAGATGCCTGATGTAAGATGGCAGTGGAAGTCTGGAACTTTATATAGCTTGTATGCACTATGTGAATATAGAGCATCTGTGAACTTCTGTGATCCCTCAATTGTAAACCTGATCTCAGCAGGGTGGGGAAGAAGGCTTCACTAAATGTTGAAAGACTCAGTGGCTTCTCTATGCATGGTAGTGTTAAAAGTCTTACTAAGTTAAAACAAAGTTGAGTTTCTTTCTATGCTAGCTATCCAGAAGACCTCCTTTGATCATAAAACAACATTTTTTTGACGTGGTTTTGTTCTTAGCAAACACTGACTTTTTGTTTTGTTTCCCTGACTCCTTTTAAATGCTTACTGGAACAAATAAACTATTAATACTTTTTCTAAAACTGAAGTTCAACTTATTGGCACATAATTCTTCAGTACTTTTTAACCTTTTATTTAGTCCAGTTTTCCTTACTCTTCATTGCTGTTAACTTTGTTAGCAATTTACTCAGTTGGCTTTACTAAAGCAAAAGCATTTGACACACCTGCCTTTTCAGGGTCATGACAAGCTTTTGATGTGAATGTCACGGTTTCTCTTGGTCTTTGTATTTTGCTGTGTCTATCCTATCTAGCATCTTGTCCCTTATGTGCTTGTGGTAGTTTTTATGTTCTACCTTAGTTATCTGACCTAGTTTCTGTTTCTTGAATGCTTTTTTTTCTTGTATTTTATGGTCAGTGAAGGCCTCATGACTTGGCCAACTTCAGTTCTTTACTGTCTTTCCTTCCCCAGTAGGATTGTTTGGCTGTAGTAGCTGCCCTGTTAAGTAACCAGAATTCCGTGACTCCATTTTTTGCCTTGGTCTTCTCCATAACTTTTTTTGTCTTGCACTTGTCTGTTATGAGGCTTTCCTGAGGTTTGTTTTTACCCTTTGGTTTCTTGAAGCCCTATGTTGGATTTGAGCTATTGTCACTTCTTTCCATCTTAAGGGTTGTCAGCTGTTTGTTTTTCTCTTCCCTCCCCACCCTGACACCATTTCTTTCACCCAAGTTATATTCACCTTTGTATATATACTAGTTTCTTCGAATTGGTTAGAGGGCTTGGTGATGAATAGTTCTTACTCTAGGTTTCTTGCTTCCTGTTTGAGTGTGTGTGTGTGTGTGTGTATGCTGCTGGGGAGGGGTAATGGGAGAGCATGGTGCCAAACTCACTAGAAGTTGTTTGTTGTGGAGAGGAACCAAAGAAGCCTGAGTCAGAAGAGTGCTCTTCTGCCTTTTCCATCTCTCCCCCAGTTCTTCCCAGCTGGTGTTGATAATTCTGTGGTAGTCTGATCTCTCCACTTCACCTATATGAAACTTAAATTCTGAATGTATATCTGCATTTTGTAAATCCCAGTGATGTTGAAAGTGGACAAATTGTCTTAAATATTTTAATCTTTTTTGATTATTGCTGCAAGAGAAATAAGGCTCTTTGAAAGGGTGAGAGTTTTAGCACAAACAGTGTGCTGCTACTGTTTCTAAAGCCATTAGTGACAGTAAATGGTTATGTACAGGACTTGAAGAATTCCAACTGTTGTTTTCCTATAATGTTTTTATTATTATTATTTCAAGTTTTTCATAACTGTAACTTTCATTTTGAAGTTTTGAGTATGTGGACAATAGCTTTTATTAGGATTTTTTTTTTTAATTTCCTTGACCTGTGCCTCTAATACTGAGTTAGGACACAAGAACATCTGTGGTCTTGCACGTGAATATACTGATAGATGTGGAAAATATGTAACTAACTAGTGTCTGCATTTTATGTTTTGTGGTGGGGAGACAGCAAAAAGAAAGACCCCCCCCAGTTACAGTTTTAAAAAATGTTTGTTATCCTAGTGACAGGGTAGGCTAATGCAGTTTTGATAATGTTCAATGTAGAGAGCTTCTGTTAATTATTTGTATGATATCAAAATAGTCCTCCTTAAGTATTCTGATCCTTTTAGTGTATGCATATTTAGAAATTAACCTATACTAATTTTTTATGCTCTTAACACATAGAATAGTAGTTAATGATATCATTATAGGTTATATATATAAAATTACATAGTGCTTATAAAACTACTTAGGACTAGTCTTAAATGCAATTTTGTGCCTCCTTTAATAGATAGGTTACTAATAGAGCTGTTCCCTACCTGTGAACCTTCAGCCTTTTTTTTTTTTTATTTTTTTTAAAGTCTGAGGAATATAGTCCTTCCTTGGTGAAAGTATGCTTTCTCTCCATTTAAAAATGCTTCCTTGCTGCGTCCGAGAGATGCTGTTTTGTTTTGTTTCTGTTTTAGTTAATTTTAAGCTGATTGCTATTAGTGAAACTGATAATAGAATGACTTGAATAACATACTAATTTTTTTCGTCATGGAAAGGCCTAAAATACATGGCTTTCTGTCTGGATGTTTTATCTGACTGTGACAGAGACTGGATTTATTTTAAAATAAGTATTAATATTCTGTTGCTACTCACAATAAAAACAATTTTTAAACAAACAAAAAACAAAATCAAAAAAACACAAAAAAATAAAACCCCAAAACAAACAGAGCTAACTAATGTTCAGAGATGCAATGAATGTCATCCAGTCTGGATTTATGCAAAATAATTCTATGAACATGATGCCTCGTTGTCACATTTGACACAGGAGCATTTTAGTTTGCAGAAACATTTATGCTTCCCCTACCACTGAAAAAATACCTTTAAAAAATAACCCCCCCACACACAAAGCACTAGAAACTAATTTTAATGTTGTTCAATGTTAGTGATGGGTCAAAAGCTCGCAAAGTGAGTCAGCATTAGAACAAATTACTTGGGTTGTAGAGACAATATTGTTAACAGAGTCTGAGACTAGTTTCTGTCTTTAGAGGGGATGGTCCAAGTACATTTAATTCTGTCTTCTAGGAGGGGATATACTCTAGTGAACTACCTGTGGTCTCCAGGATTATAGAGGGAAGGCTTTATTTTACAAGGGGAAAGAAACAAGAGTCGAAGCATGATGGTTACAAAAGAAGAAAAAAGTCTTCTACTCTTAATAAGGAAGAGTCTTCTACTCTTGTTTCAGACAAATGTCTCATACTGGCAGCTAATTCAATATTGAGAAGCCGGGCAAGCAAATCTACTTCAGTTCTGTAAGACAAAGCTGCTGATTTTGTTAACTGGATTTGCACTCCCTCTCAGTTGCTTGTTTTTCTTAGGAATATTTCCTGTGTTTTGGATAAGTTAGTGAGGCCTGAGAATATTTTGTTTTGCCTTTTTTTTTTTTTGCTGAACAACTTGTGCTCCAACTTTGTGAGACTGCGCTTGAAAAATGCTGTTTGAGAGTTTTCTAAGCAACCAAAAAAGATCTTCAAAATCTTCCTAATACCTTTAATAATATTCTTTGTTAGACCTCTTTTGTTTGCATGTTTTTGGTTGTTTATAACCTTAATTGAAGTCTGAGTCACTGTAAGATGCTTTCTAGTGTTAAAGGAGATAAATACAATGTATGTGATATAAATATTGACTAGTGTGCTTGCAGAAAGTATCAGTCCTATTCATGTCAAAAAGATTAATTTGTACTGGATTATGATTAAAAATGTTTAATTATGAATGGAATGTGGTTATAAAAGATAAAGTTTGAATAGAGTGTTCCAGTTTAGATTCTTTCAAGATTTCAAACTAATTTGATCTGTATTATACTTTCAACCACTGAAGACATGTATGAACTGTGGTATCTGGTTGAAAACAAGATGTATGATAGAAAACTCTGCTGTAGTCAGTTAAGTGTGAATATGGCTGGGGAAAACTTAAAAGTAACAATTAACTTTATTTTGTGTAGCTAATGTAATGGGAAATGTCTAGGATGTTGAAAACGGGACATACCTGGGAAGCAAAGGATTTTGTTTATGGCATTTTTCCGGTATTGCATTCTGACTGTTCTCTTTTTTTTTTTTTTTTTTTTTTTTTTTTTCTATTCTGTTTTCAGATCTTGAGTCAGATGACTGTGCGTCTATATACATCTTTAATGTAGACCAACCATCATCCTCTGTAAATCAGCCAATTTGTATTCCTCGCCATGGATTGCAGTCTCACTCTCCTCTGTCACCACCTGCAAGGCTTCAGAGTCATAAGAGCTATGAAGGAACTTGTGAAGTACCGGAATCCAAATACAGTCCACTAGGTGGACCCAAACCCTTTGAGTGCCCTAGTATTCAAATTACATCTATTTCACCTAACTGTCATCAAGGAATTGAAGCCAATGAAGATGAATTGCACACAAATGGCACAGAAAATGAGTATATGGAAAGGCCTTCACGGGACCATCTCTATCTTCCTCTTGAGCCATCATATAGGGAATCATCCCTTAGTCCAAGCCCTGCCAGCAGCATTTCGTCCAGAAGTTGGTTTTCAGATGCTTCCTCATGTGAATCCATTTCCCATGTTTATGATGATGTCGACTCAGAGCTAAATGAAGCAGCTGCTCGATTTACCCTTGGCTCTCCTTTGGCATCTCCTGGTGGTTCTCCGAGAGGTCCCAGTGATGAATCTTGGCAGCAGCCTTATGGATTTGGGCATGCCTTGTCACCTAGACAGTCTCCCTGTCATTCTCCTAGAACTAGTATTACAGATGAAAATTGGCTAAGCCCTAGACCAACATCAAGGCCCTCATCAAGACCTACATCCCCCTGTGGGAAACGACGACACTCCAGTGCTGAGATTTGCTATGCTGGTTCTCTTTCTCCTCACCATTCTCCAACTCCATCACCTGGCCATTCTCCCAGAGGAAGCATAACAGAAGACACATGGCTAAACACTTCCATCCATAACGTACAAGGCCTTAATTCTGGCCTTTCACCATTTCAGTGTTGTACAGAGACTGATATTCCTCTAAAAACAAGAAAGACCTCAGAGGATCAGACTGCCACTTTATCTGGAAAAATAGATATCTGTCCTGAAGAACAGGGTAACTTATCATCATCACTTGAAACTGCAGTAGAGGACTGCTCTGGATCTCAGCACACATTGAAAAAAGATTTGCCCGGAGACCAATTTCTTTCTGTTCCTTCGCACTTTACTTGGAACAAACCAAAGCCTGGTCACACTCCTATATTTCGGTAAGTCCTTCGCTTCCATTTTTCACCTCCTGTGTATCTTAAATAAACATACAAATGTGCTTATATTTCAGTGATGCTTTGCGTCTTCTTAAAGAAAACTTCTTGTAGGCAGGTAGATGATGTAATTAGGAAAAAGCAAGTTGAGATATCAAATACCCATCTTTTTTTTTCTTTTAAAAATCCAGTAGATGCATTGTAACGTAGGATTAGTTTTAAGTAAATAAAGTTTGTTTGCATACATGCAGAGCCCAGCTGAATCAAATGTCAGCGTTGCTGCTGGATGGACAGATACTGTGATTACACATTTGATACCTGAACCTTTTGCTTGCTCTAGTAGGTTTTAAAAATAAGGGGTAAGGAGGTACTCGTAGGAGCTGTGGACATTTTGTAAGAAAGGTACATGAGAGTAGTATCTGTAAAGCACTACTATCCATACAGAAGCTATATTATATGTTTAAATGTCAGTGCTTCCATGGTAGTCTGTATTGATTTTAAAATAACTTTGATTAAAATAGTATCGTTCTGTCCATAGGTAATGCTTGAGCTTTGCTCTTCAAGGTTGTAGTGGATGAAGCAATTCCTCTTTCTTGGTGGGAGGGATCGTAGTGGGTAGGATTCTCCACATACAGGCTTTATTTTGGAAAAGGCAAAGCTTAAATCCTAAAAGTTAATGGCAAAATACAGTGTTCTTATTGCAAAGTCATCTTTGCAAAGCACTTGTTTTCACACTCTGTAATTTTAGAAAGAATGACTTAGAAAACATTCATGGTTTTAACATTTTCCTCACCACTACCACCTCTTCCCCCAAAGTAAGTGAAGCAAAATAAAGGAAGAAATGTTTCTGACCAAGTTTCAGAAATGCCCTTAGAGGAGGCTTTTTTCATTTGCTCTCAGAATTCTAAATTCTTAGCAGAAAACTGGAATTAACAATTGCCCAGTAAGCCAAGCTTACTGAAGAGGCATTCTTTTTGGGGACCTCCTTCAAAAGTACAACTTTTTGAAAAGTGGATGCTGGCTTTAATGGTAACATGCTAGTTTTTATATATTTCCCCTTTCTATAGTGGCTTTTTCCAAATTCAGATATCATTCTTGCATCACTCTAACATCTTGATATATTATTTCCTGAGGACTTGTCAGATGAACAAGGCTGTTGAAAAAATGTTTTAGAATACCTGTTCTCATTCTCTGTTGGGTACATGAATATTCTCAGGGGTGTCCATCTTGCAGAATGTAGAAGCACTCAGTCATCTTTTAAAGATTGCTATAGCTGACCCTTTCCATGTGGGTTTAAGGCAGAGAGCTGACGGAGAAAATTCAGGTGTAACTTTTACAATTGAGTACCTAAGAAGGAAGCTGCAAACACAAATTGATGAAAGATAGACCATTACTTTCAGGGTACACTGAAATATCCTTAAAACAAATGGACGATAAGTGAATCCTAGCTTTAGCAGTTTCCCAAAAAGGTAACTTCTAATAGGTACTATCAGATAAACCTCAGTGTTCATTTGAGGTCTGACAATGAACTTCTCAGTTCTACTGCTGAATATATCCTATGTGTTGATATATCAGTGTCACCCAGAAGGCTCATTTTTATTAATACTAAGGTTCTGTTAATTTTAAAATGAAGTTTTGTATAAATTCTTTAGAAGTCATCAACTAGATTAGATTGTTAATATCTAAATATATTTAAACAATGCTTATTCAGCCATTTTGTCATGTTTACACAATTGTATAACTGCAGATTTTAATCTCTCCTTAGAGATGTATTGACTTCAGTGAGTAGAAGTGATTATTATTTCTTTTTTTTTTTTTCTTTACTGTCCTTCTGCATAACTGTTTGTGAATGTGAAGTTTAACAGTAAAGATACAGAGCTGCTAGCTGGCAAATTCTGTTTTACCAGATCTGAAACTACAATGTTGACAGATACATTAACTGTCTTTGAAGGATTTTTTTAATATTCTGTTGCATTCTGCTCATCTGTTATTAAAAGTTTTTCAGTCTGTTACTGCAATCTTTTCATTCTAACTAAAACAACAATATCTACTTTTCCTTAACTTGTGTATTTTGGAATTGTATTATATCTGTGTAGGATACTCTGCAGTCCTAACTTGGCTTTTTTGTTGGCTCACAGGCTAACATAGTTCAGAAAAGGTGAGTGCTACTGAAGCATAAGAGCACATGAACAAGGTGGGGTGTGCATCTGGTTCTTTTGTGGGATGACCAAAATAGTTACAAAAATAGATACTCAGTTAAACCTGCTTCTTCTTGTAGTGGAGAGAACCAAGCAGACCTGAATAAAAGTCAATTTTACTTTTTTGAGTAAGTAAAAATATTTTTTTTAAATGTCAGGATTTATTTAGAAGCTGGCACTGAAGAGCTTTTCTAAATATAAAATGGGCAAACAGGCAGAAGACAATAAAGACTACACCTGTTCACAAGTAAAACTACATGAAACTATTAAGCTGTATATATTTGCTGCCAGAAATACAGTCTGACTATTGAATTAATGGAAATGCCTGCATTGGCAGCTGTATCCTCAGTGAAGTGTTGAATTACTTAGTGGTTGTAGCCTGTTCCACAGACGCTATGAGACTATACATCTTCAGTATGTTAAAACATTTCACTCTGTCATATAGTATTTGGTAATTTTGATGCTTATAAAGTAGAGAAGGTAAGTTGACTTTTATATTTTATGAATAAAAATGAAATGCAAGAAGATCCACTGTTACTTGGATAGTTTATGACAGTGATGAAAAGCGAGCACCTCAACTGTCATAAGGACTTGGATATTAATTGCGATTTATATCTTTAATATGTATTATATATAGTAATAGATTAATTGTAATATAAATTACAATAGAGATTACAATTAATATGTTTTTTCAATGTGTTGATGGTGTAGTCAAGTACAAAGTAGTGCATGCAGTAAACTGGAGTATTGATTCCAAGCATATGAAGTGACTGAGCAGTGAGCACGCTCAGCTGCAATGAACTCACTCCTGGTAGAAGTTGGGAGAACTTGCCTCACATGTGATATGGTGTGAAATGTGCAGATAGCACTGTCTTCTCTGAATACTATCTAAGGGTTTGTAATTCTGTAATCTTGTTTATGAAGTCCTGACCATGTTTTCTTTCTTCGGCGTTCTGTAAGTGTGCAATACTTCACAAATTTTCAAAATATGTATCATGCTTTTGAGTGTTTTAGTCATATTTCAGATGCCATCCAAACAATTCTGGTAGGTGACAGCTTGTCATTTGGTCACAGAAACACATAATCTGTCAGTGTGTAGCATATGAAAAACATATGTGTATTATGTGCCCTGAGTGACAGTTCTGCCTCCTTGTCAAAGATAAGTCTATGGACACGTGACAATGGACAGAACCAGTGCAACAATTGCTTTCAAATAGGTAAAAAAGAACCAGGTGGTGGTGTCTTCTATATCTAGGAATAGGGAAGGTATCTGTCTGTGATGTCATTAACCAAGTACCTTGGCAGATGAGCACTCTTTTGATGGCAGATTAAATTGGTCATTTTACAGACTATTCAGCAATTCAGTTATTTGATAATTTTATTTATTACGTTATTACTCCTGTTACTGTTAATAAGATACCTCTTTCTTCCAACCCCAGCCTACCCCCAGAATGATGGATAAGAAATGGCTTTATCTGTGTCTCATGCTTTCCTCCTCTCCACTGTGAAAATCTCTTTCTTTTGGGGACCTTAATGTAGTGATAGTACATCTGACCACCCCATTTGCTTATTACCCCAACACTTCATGAAGATGCTGATTTTATGACTTTTTCTTGAACATACAGTGTTGAAGTTTAACTCACATAAAAAACACAGGGTTTTTTTAATTAAATCTCATTGTAAGACCTATTTCTAGGCTTTTGCATAAAGTTACTTCAGATTCTTTTATTAATGAGATTCTCTTCTCCTTTCACTCCTTTCCCCAAATCTGTATTGGTTATTGGAAGGGAAGCATAGATGCTTCATGTTCACTTTCTTCTGTAGATAGTCTATGTCAGTATAGGTTATAAAAAGTCTAAAAGAATACCCAAGAAAGTGCTTCTTCCTAGAGTCTTTTCATATTCAAATATCTAAATTTGATACTCTTGCTCACACTGAGGCACCAACTGAAAGCGGTTAGTATGATCCTGTGAATTATCTTAAGTGTATCGTTAAGTCTTTGAAACTGTGAAATTTCTATCTAGTAAATATTTATGAAACTGTATAATATTGGGAAGCTTTTCAAGACTGACCCATTTTATTAAAATTTTCCTCTTTAGATTCCAGACAGCTTCCTCAAGTACAAAGCTGCTGTATTAGGAAGACGAGTTATCGTTACTAGTATTTTCAAGTGATCTGTATACTTGTTTTACAGAAATTAATGTTATCAGTTACAGTGTATATAGCTCTTCCATGTCCAACTTGTCTCCCCTGAAGCAGGTTCTCAGTTGTAAGATTTCCAGAAAAAAAAAAAAAAAAAAAAAATTAGAAAGTCTGTTTTACAGTACTTCTTTTTAATCTTGATCAAGGGGAATAAACAGAGTATAGGGATGACCCAGAAACCTTTACTGAGCAATCAATACAATATAATACCATTGGGGAGGACTTGTCACTAAAAGTACATAAGAGATCATCAACATTTATGGTGTTAACAACCACAGTTACAGTGTTCTGGAGTTTAACCACCGTCATGGACGTGGCCAGCACTGATGTAGATAACGTAGCATTTTGTTAGAAGAGTGGTCAATGATGATGCAATTGAAGAGGATGGTTCTGTTATTTTTGCATTTAGGTTTGTTGTTTTTTCTTCGAATTTAAGACTTTTAACATGAATGGCTAGTGGACCAGTAAATTATAGGTTCTGTAAAGTACATCTTGAGAATCTAATTTGTATCTCAAGCAAACAGGCACTTTGCAGGGTAGTAAACCTAATGAGTCATTCATTTCTTCTTGCTTTCTTTGACCCCTGAAGTATCTGATGGGAACAAA